CGATGGCATATAAGCAAACTGTACACTGCTAGAGCAGTCGCTCGAAAGCAGCTAATGGGAGTCAAAGTAAATGTAGATTGTCTGCCTACCATGATGATGTCACGAAGTTGGAAGTTTGTTTGAATTCTGTAAAATTCTCAGGATTTGTTAAGGCGTAAGATATTCTGCAGTATTATAATATTGCCATACATTTGATGATAATGTTAAATGTGAAATATAAATGTGAGAATCAGTAATAGGTTTTAAGAAGCGCTGTAAAGTAAAATACGAATATACTTTTATATAATGCATGAAACTGCTAATACGAATATACTTTTGCATAATGCAGAGAGAATAAAAATGTTAAGTGATAAATATTGATTACTTAATGAGAGTTATGTGCACCAAGTAAAATGATCCTGCTCGTATAAAAAAAGGCGTGAAATCTTTTTTTTTTTTTAAATAAATGTGACTGTCATGCAATGCGTTTAATATACAAAAACTCCTAATGAAAATTCTTCTACTGAAATTTTAGTGAATATGCACAATGTTTATTAACGATACTGAATACTGTATTCAAAGAAATTAGTTTTTCATTCATTCATATAACAACTTCTGATATTTTATATATTTTGCCACTCAATAGATTTCTGTTTTCATTATTATAGTTGTTAAGTTGATTTATTTATAAATTCAGATAACAATGTTATTTTATCGTCTTATTATTTTATATAAAGAATAGAGAAAACAATAGCTGATATCTTTTATGAATATAAAATTTAACTTCTAATTTGAATATAATTAGAGCCAACATTAGGCAAAATTGTTGAGTGATTGGAAGAACCGAATGCTTTTATAGGTCAATTATGAACGATAATATTTGAGGGTATGATAAAAACTCCGAAACGACATTACTTATATGTCTGAATTATGTAAGAATTGTGGCTGAAATTAAACCAAGTAAACTTATTCCTATTTATATCAAATATATTTGAAGAGTTATGGAAATGAAAAAAATCCCTTTGACATTCCTCTATATGTAAGAGAGATAGTTTTTGAGGATTATCCCTGAACTAACCTTGCCAACTAAGTAACTCATTGTAAAAGGGCTTTAATGAAAATCTTTGGTAATAACTTGTTGAAATATTAGAATGGATATCATTTAACTGGAAAGTGTGCTGAAAATGTGGCTATTTATAACACGTACAGGCTTTAAAATTAAAATGGTATTAACTAATATAAGCTGCCTTGGATGATAGGGTAGAATGGAGGTTGATTGCTAATCAGAAATCAAGCATATAGAATTGTTCCTGATATTAGGTTTGGCTGTATGTGTATCGTCGTTTTCCTTTCTTGTGGGCGTAATATCAATAGCTCTTTGTCACGTACTTTCGACAATGCACAGAATAATAAAAATGCTAAATGATCGAATGAGTTTGACCACAATTTCCAACGAGTGTTTAACCAGCAAGCATTTGGCCCTTAGATTGGGGAAAAATGCCTAGGTGTTGACAAAGATAATTAATTCACTCAGGCCATTCATTCAGGTTTTAATTAAAAAATAATTAAAACCTTTTATGTTCATTATATATTCTTGCAGCGAAATTAACATGCTCAAATAGTTACAGAAAACATAACTCAGTTACCACAGTTTATTTATATTTAAGAAGTTACCTTCTTTTAATTTAAATTTTAAAGCAGTAGTATTTGTCTTGATCCTCCTCCATTAGAAGTGAAACATGTGATGACTGATAGAAAAGAAATGAAAATAAGTTCTTAAAATGTAAAATTTCTGTGACTGAACTTGAACATTTACGTAGTTACATAGCTGACATTTAAAAAGTTTTGTTAATTTCAATTTTAATAAATAGCAGGAGTCAAGGAATGAATCAAATTTGACTATAAATAAAAGCACAGGTATGTGTACACATTTATACAAATTTTGAAAAGTCCTAGAGTTAACAGAAATATGAAACTGGCTTTAGCTGCTACAGAGGCTGTTCGCACATTTTTTAGACGATTTTGGTAAGCGGTAATAAAAACTTGTTTTGCTGCAAAAGAAGTAATTGCAATTGTACTGTGTTTTTAAAAGTCAAAATTATCGTCTGTGGCTTGAAAGTTTTGTTTTTATTCAAAATGGCGAATTTAAAAAGCAGTGGTTCGAAGGCTACTCCGTTATCCAAAAATCATGGTTTTGTGATATCTTAAGCGTCGATAGGTAATATCATTAACAAGAAAGGAAAAAAACGCAAAATTGGAGCCTCAAGTGGGACAAAAATTCCATACAAGTATCCAAAGAAAAAACGCACATCTTCGACTATTGCAAAGGTACGTTGTTTAATGTTAAAAGAAAATCCCCCTAGTCAAAGGACAGTTGCAAAATCATTAAAATGCTCGGTGTCCACTGTGAACAAAATGATAAACGTTGATTTAAATTTTAAGAAAGCGAAAAAACGCAATGTGCATCGTTTTCTTCCAAAGCATATCGCTCAACGCAAAACACGCTGCAGAATTCTATATGAGAAACACTTATCCAAAGAAAAATGCAAAACATTTGTCACAATAGATGAAGCATGGGTGTACTTAAATGATTGTAACAAGAAAGAGCCATTTATTATCATAAAAGGGGAGAAAAAAATTTAAGTATATGGTTCAAAGTATCGAAAGAAAGTTTTTCTAAAGGATTCATGATTGTTGCGGGTTTTTCTTATAATGGCAAATTAAAAATAAAGAGAGTGCAAAAAAATAGATTAACTCCAAATACTATCAGGAACATATTTTATCGCCAATTTTTCTGAATGAAATACGAGGGCCATCCAGGAAGTAGATTACGTTTCCGTCTGTGTCCGCTAGGGGCGGGGCTAGCGCGGCCATCTTGGGGTCAGAGCATTGCGCAGCTCAGTCTGCATCTAGCCGTGCTAGTGAGAGGTTCGTGCTGTGCTCCGTTCAGATACTGTGACGGTTTGAAATGTCTGCGTTAATTGAAAATCCCGCGAGCTGCGAGGTGCGCTCAGTAATAAGGTTTCTGACTGCAAAAAAACTGTAAACCGATAGAAATCTATCGGCAGCTTCGTGAAGTGTATGGGGACAACATTATCACTGAAGGTGGAGTGCGTCAGTGGGTCATAAGATTTCAAAATGGCCGAACCAATGTTCACGACGAAGATCGAAGTGGGAGACCCAGCATAGTGACCGCCGAACTTCTCGAAAAAGTCGATGCTAAAGTCCGTGAAAATCGAAATTTCACAATAACGGAACTTTCTTTGAGTTTTCCACAAATTTCGCGAAGTTTGTTGCACGAAATCATCAGCAAAAAGCTTGGTTACCACAAGTTTTGTGCAAGATGGAAGGCAAGAAGAGGTAACGAAGTGGTTGAAGGCGCAGGCGGCCGAATTTTTCGACGAAGGAATTTCCAAGCTCGTACATCGCTACGATAAATGCCTTAATTTGTATGGTGACTATGTAGAAAAGTAGTATTTGAGTGTGGCTTTCATCTGTATATAATAAAATTTGTTTCCTATACTTTGTTTATTTTTTTATTCCAAAACGTAATCTACTTTCTGGATAGCCCTCGTACCATCGCTTTACCCACAGTGCCATCCATCTGTGAGACTCCATCAGGACAAAGCTAGTAGTCACACATCAAAATCCACTGTAAATTTCCTAAAGAAATGGAACAAAAAACTGGTATCAAGGCCATACCCTTCACTGATATCCCTACTAAATCTCCCGATGTGTCACCTATGGATTTTTGTGCTTTCGGACTTTTAAAAACTGCATTATCCAAACGTTGTCCCAAAACCCTAACAGGATTCTGGAAAGCTGTTCGGGAGGAATGGGATAGAATACCTCTTCTGTCACTTTAAAAGACATTATTATCCTGGAAATTGCGGTGTCGAAAGATAGTTCAGAATAAGAGATGTCAAATAGAACATTTATAAAACAAGAATTTTATGTAATTTAGTTTTGTGAACACAATATACATCGTCTAAAAAATGTGTGAACAGCCTCTGTATATTTGCGCCTTTTCAGGTTTTTAGTTGTAACCTTATTTATAAAAAGCGACTGAGCTCACACTTCATGCAGCTGAAGAGACAAGTAAACAAACTGTATCGGACTCCTCAACATAAATATAACTTCCTGAGAGCAAAAAGCTTTTAATTATTCAACAGCTAATTGATAACAATAATTAAATTTTAGTTTACGATTAAGTGGTCTTGATAATTTTATAATGATTCTTGCAGACGACTGCGAATGTAAAGTCAATGGGAAACTCTTCTATATATAGCGCAAGTGATGTCAGCCAAAAAAATGATGCAAATTATAGAAATAGGTGTAAAGGGAACAGCAAAGAATCTACGTACGTAAGTGCAAAGATTAAAGGAGGTTTTGTTAAAGGGAAAATGCATGGTAGTGGTCATTTAAATTACAATATTGGAAAAATTTATGTAAGCATTATATTATGTAAATAACAAATGATTTAATACAATATCAGGTTTTTATGTATATGTATTGAAGGTCTACAATATCCTAAACCTAACAGAAGGTTTGTTTGTTGCTGCATTTTCATTCAGTCATTAATAAATTGAATTTCAAGAATGTATACAAGTAGTATTTTTATTATATTGCATACTTTATATGTATAAATATTTCCTTTTAAAAAATTGTGTTTATACAAAATATTTTGTATAAAACACAATTTTTTAATATATACAAATGTTTTGGAATTCATCTACAGTTTCGTCTTTTACCTTCGTTCGAAAGTAAAGTTCTCTTGAAATATTTGGGACAAGGGAAGCGATGATTATCTGACCGTCAGATTTCGTCTTCTAGACTACTCTCGGTTAAAATAAGATGGAATATAGGCAAACGGTCACTACAGGCTTTGTCTAAATTAAATAATAAAACTATATAATATCAGATGAATACAGAACGTTCTCTTCATTCTTGTTTGCTTTTATATGTATTTTGCGAATGGCTTTTCTTGTATGGGTCTGAAATTTTTTTTTGTGTTGTTTTAGTCGAGCTATTATGACCTATCTTGTCAACAAGTATGCACCTAGCAATCCTATCTACCCAAAGGATCCTAAGAAAAGAGCTTTGGTGGACATGATGTTAAATTTCGATCAAGGGTCTCTTTACAGATCCCAAGTGGAATATCTGGTAAGTAAGAAAAAAAAATCTCCTTGATGTGCGTGTAAATCGATCTTTAACACTTCAAGCAAAGGTACTTTATATTTCTTCACCTATAGAATTTACCTTCATAAGATTCAGTGCTTATTCAGAGATTCTTAGGTAAGAAAGGTAAATTTGGCTTCATGCAGCGAAGATTTCTCAGTATTCTGGTCATTGGCAGCATAAGGTAACCGAATAAAAGCCCATTAGAGGAAACCCAAATGACATATTCGTATGGGCTTTAATCAGTTTTGGTGTTTATCAATGGGGCTTTTATCAAAGCATTTTTTTAAAAATCAATACGAGCTTTTTATTCATATGAGTTTTATCTGCGTGCCGCGTAGGCACCTTAGCATAATAGCGCGCTAAGTTCAACTTTGCCTCTAACTGTACAACTATACCTCTATCAATCTCTAACTTCCAAGAGGCAATATTTTGACACCTTTCCAAAAGCTTTAATATCACTCTGATACAGAGGACAGCATATATTTCACACAAATGGTAATTTAATTCATTTTAAATTTTTAATAAATTTATTAATTTTGTATGCAGCTCAAATTTAACAACAACCCCTGTCCCCCACAAAAAAAGCGCTTCAAACAAACAGTAATATCATCTGTTGACTATTTAATGCTTAAACATATTACACCCATCATATTTCTAGTCAGTAATAGTTTTATGTATAGTAAGACAGTTTTATAATAATTTACAGCCATTTAGTTAGTAAGTTCAAAAATCCAAAATTCTCGGCGGTTGTAAGAATCTGAATTCCGTAGCTACAAAATGTAAATTCCACATATTTAATCCATATTCATGGATAAAGACAACGCAATGCAAAACGCACCTAAAGAGAAAACTATTCGGAAATATTTCCGAATCTCATGCTGAACTAACAACTCGCAACTATCACAACAACTAACTAACTAAGAGCAGATGCTCTCTCAGGCTTTATATAGTTTTCAACTGGCCGCTGAGATATTTCCAGTACTTTCTGCTTCTCGAAATTTCTGGAAAGCAATACGAGAGTCGAACTACTGTTGCAGCTAATATAGTGATTAATTGCATTTATTCAATTACATTAACTATTACAAGCTGAAACAGGGACCAAATAGTCACCAAGTTTGGCGACTTTGGCGATTTCTCGCCAAATTACCGAGATACCCATTTCCTCAATGCTAAGTGGACTTGCCACTATATTCTTATTTTTCCGTGATAGTTTTTTAGATTTTTCATGTTACGTTAAACAAAATAAATATAACAGTTTTACTTATAATTCCACCAAAATTACCTATCTAAGTTTAAAATTCGTGAAAACATATATCTCTTATTAATGTTGCACGAATACATTGATCTATTATACAAATACAATACTTTATAGGTACTTTTATGGCCTGCTTTTAATTGTATTCACCTAGAAATGTCATGTAAATATTATCATATCCCCATCACATTACACATATTTGATTTGCATCATATGGACACCCGATGGATATTACAAAAGCATAAGGTTATAAGATAGTACCGATAATGGAGCTTCTTGTCGAAAATCTAACTGAATCTAGTGGATGGCTGGCCCATTATTGGTGGAAAGAAGAGGAAGTGAAATTTTCGAACTGAAAAAAAGGATGTTTATGTAAAGGTATTCATCCTAGAAATGACTGTATTAAACATAAAAATTATTTTTAAATTTCCGCACATCCTAAACAGCATTGCATGTTACGGTATTCATGCTAGAAAAAACTGTGTCATACACAAAGAGAACTTCGAAATTTCTGCACATTTTAAGTTGCATTATGTCAAGCATAAACAAAGTCTCTAAATTTGTTCACATCATAAACTGCATTGCCTGTAAAGGTTATATTAGAAAAGACTGTGTCACACATAAATAAAATTTGTAAATTTCTGCACATCGTAAAATGCATTTTATGTAAAGGTAGTCATACTAAAAAAGAATGCGTCAAACATAAACAGAACCTCTAAATTTCTACACATTCTAAACGGCATTGTAGAAGCACTGTACAACAAAATACCAATCCTCGTCAATAAAAGAACCAAAACGAAGCAAAATAATACTGAACGCCCACTCCCAGGAGTGCTGAACACATACACGTGGAGTCTCGCCTCCAAGAAGTCAAGTTCGTAGAAAAGTCATAACTGTAAATTACAAGTGGACATGCTCCACTAGGCTGGCAGTAAACATTTCAAAATTACAGTAGAAGAGAAAGGTAAATAAATATTTCGGAGTTTATGGCGCGGAGTTCCTGAAAATCAGAGTGCCATATCAGTTAATACGCTGTTCTATTCGCAATGAGCATCTTCGTTTCATACCTTTTAGGGAAGGACTTCGAAAATATAATTGCAAATTCTTCCGCATTAACGACTACTGACGTTTAACTATGCATTTCGACATTTTATTGCTGCACTGAACTAATACTAATCCCGCATTAATTTTTATTTTCGCATCGTTTATGAAGGCTGCATCCGGTCAAAACATGTAATTAAAGCGCAAACGTGTCTTCGTAAAGTTTGAATTTCGAGTCTCATGATCAAACATAAATTAAGAAAAAAATATGTTTTCGTAAATTAAGCTTTTATTTTAAAACTCATAAAATAATTTATCATATAGTTTAATGGGAAAAAGAGGTTTAAAAATTCTCTTTTTGGAATTCATCTACAGTTTTATGTCACGAATGATAAAAGTGTTGATTTATTTATAAAGTTAATGGTTTGTATGTTTGATAATGCAATCCTATTATTCAATTTAGTTATTTATATAACCACGCTTTTATTATTCATGATGTTAAATTGCGGAAGAATTTTGTAAAGAGAATTATTTTATCTCTTGTTGCCGTTAAATTGTATGATAAATTATTTTTCGCTATTAGTTCATTACTTATTTTATGAATTTAAAATAAAAGTTTATTTTGTAAAAACTTTTTTCCCTTAGTTTCATCTTTTTAGTCTCAATGACAAGTTATCAATCAAATTATAGAAAACTATTTTTTCAACAATGAATAATCACTCTTGTACTTCTAACAATTCCATTACGTCAAATGGTTGAAAAAAATCCAGCGAATTTTTCCCCAAAATCAGAAATTAGGTTAAAATTTCATATAAGTTTCTTCAGACGTTTTTTGCCCTTTCGTGCAGACAGTAAAATTTTGCGATTTTTTAATTCGCTCGTTAGATGAAGGTATGAGCATAGAATTTTTTAAATATTAAATTTAAAAAAAAACTAAATAAAATTTTGAAATAGCCGCTTCATCATATTGTATTTCATCAGAAAAAAATCTAGAAAATTGCCTATTTAATATTTTTTTAATCTTATTTCAAAGGAAGGAAAAGAAACAGTATTTATAAAAATACCAGAAGCATCCATGGTAAGCTTTATTTATTTGCAAGTAATTTTTTCTAGTGAGGGAGGAGCAATTAAATAAGTATGTATTATTTGTGGTCCCAACTTGTCAGCAACTGTGGTAGTGACTGCTATGAACTGTAAATTTACAAAAACACGTAAGAAGGGTTTAAAGTCCTTTTTATTCCACTTTAAAAATAACAGCTGCGTTCACTTGACGCTTACAAACTACGCCGACCCGGCGGTTTAACCGAAACAGAATGTAAAACTGAAAAATAACGACTGGATGAATAAATAGCTAGATCACTACCTACGAGGCTCTGAGATCTTAACTAACCTAACCGCGTTCTAAAATACAGCCGAGATTCAGCGAGCTTACTAATTAAGAAGTTGAAAGATTCAGCAAACTGCCGAGATAGGCACACAGGCCGAAACGCGCGATTCTTAATTTTCTACCTAGCAACCTTCACGTTCGAGATTCAAGAAGCACACATACAATCTCGTTTCCTTTCTATTTAAACTCAACTTACTTCTGCTAAATTTGAATATACTGCGCGCTCTACTACAATTTACATACTCTAGCATTGGCAATTCTAGGGGAAAGTAAAGGCTTGACAGGAAAGATAGCTTAAAATAAATGTTAGTTAAAATAAATATAAACCCTACAAGTAAGTAAAATGAATATAACAGAAATCAATACGAAAGCATGAAAAACAATGCGACATATAATGAATGACATCTTAACTTTGAAATTCCAACTGAATGAAGTAAAAGAAGAACCGGAAAGCTATTTTCCATTTGCAGCATATTTTTAAAAATGTGTAGAAAATCGCCCAACTAATTTGTTTTTATTATGCTCCTTTTCAAAGACAGCTATGAGTTTGTTTCATAATCTGTGAAAATTTCATAACTGTACAGCAAATACATTTTAACATGATGAAATCTGAACGACGAAATTTAAGTATCATAGTCGTCAAATACACGAAAAATTGCGCGATTTTCGAAAATTCGTCAAAAAATTAGAAATTACGTTAAAAAGTTTCATATAAATTTCATGTAAAAGATTCTTTCCTCGCTCCATACGATAATGCAAACAACAAAATTCTGTGATTTTTAGTTTGTTCATTGCACGAAGACTGTACGAGAAATCGTTTCAACATTGAATTTTCATAAAATCTTAATTGAATTATGATGTTCCTCAGTACTTTGTCTATAATAAAATGTCGAGGATCCTAGTGAACTGTGCTGCGAATTATCGCTGAGTTCAAGCACGAGCAGCGTAGACTAGAGAAAGGTTAAAATATGCTCTTATTTACTCACAGAAAGGATAACAGATGGCCCCTTTTCTGGCTTACAGGAAAGCCTCCACTTGTGCTTTTAAATCAGGATAAGAAAATAAGAAACTAAACTAATTAAGATAGATTTAGCCGAAGCTAGATTCAAACATCTAACGTAGTTGGCCCTTAATTTAAACTAGCCGGCGAATATGAACAGGTACGTACAATACGGCCGAGCGTAATAGATACAAAAATGAATTAGCCAAAAGGCAAACACGCGCCACTAAGGACTCCTAACTTTTTTTAATTATTACTTTTAACTCATTTGATAAATAAAATTATTCATAAAATTATTC